TGCCTCATGTTCAACTCTTTCTGTATAAAGAAATACTTCAAACTCTTGTAATCTGTGTACACTTCACATGTTCCCCCATATAGGTAGTGGCGCCAAATTTTCAATACAAAAACCACTGCAGCAAGTTCTAGATCATGAGCAGGGTAGTTCTTTTCATGTGGTCTCAGTTGTCAGGAAGCATACGCGATCACTTTACCGTTCTGCATTAATACACATCCCAAACCCTTATAAGAAGCATCACTAAAAATAGTAAAGAATGTGGTTCTTGTATGGTTCATGGGAAGCAAATATGAGAATGTGGTTCACGTGTACAAGTTATAAGGAATGGACTAAATAAGAATCAATGTAAAGAAAGCTAAAACATGATGGCTATATGAATATGTAATGATAAGACGTGTTTTGTGCTATGTACGTTTTTTATTGTAGGTCGGGAATTGGAGACTAACCAACCGTTTCTGGAGGCCCATTGTGAGTAACATTATTGTAAAGATATGTTCATATGAATTATATTCCAAACGTGATTTGATAAGTTATGATTTCTGAAATGATATTTGTTTACGTGAATGAATGTTCTATGTTTGAAATCTATTATGGCATCCATAGGTAGTCCAAAGTCGTGAGAGACAGCATGTTAATGCGAGTCCATGATATATATGTGATTACGAAATCTCGTTAGCCACTTTATTGTGGTGATATGTGTTTAATCGGTATCCGGAACCGATTACTCTAGTCGAATGACGACGTGATATGTTCTATTGGATGTACCATTATTATGTTTGGATATGAGAATTGATTCTGTTGTGATCTGTTTTATGAATATGATATGTTCGAAATATGTTCACTAATCTCTTTACCTTAATGTTATTCACTGGACTTTAACTCACTGTGTGTATATATATGTATAGGTGAGCGTTCTGGTGATCAGGCTTGAAGACTTTTGTTTGGATCTATGTTTTGTTGTCAACCAACCATTGTGCCTCATGTAGAGGTTTCTAAAGTGTCGCGAGTTATAAGCCTTGGTTGTTTTTGTATATAAGATTTTTTGTTTTTGTTTTTGTTTTTTTTTTTTTGTTGTACTTAAGATGCTATAGTTAAGTGTGTGGGTATAACGTGAGACTGATTTTGGTTATATATATAAAGTTTTAAAAATCTCTATCTTATATAAGTCAGCACAGCTCGATGGACGATGTATGTTCTTATTTAACTTTCGCTAGCCCCTTATTTTGTTAATCTGTTTCAGAGGCCTTTGGTAATCTAGGATTACTAGCCGGTTATAACGCTAAACCTATAGGGACGGGTTTGGGTCGTGACATTTTCTCTCTTCTCTCTTTCTCAATCACTTTTTTTTTTTCATACCCATTTATTCAATTATAAAAAAAAAAATATCAAATCATCCCAAACTCAAATTTCAAAATTATTTTCAAAATATACAACCAAACAAATTTTTAAATTTTCTAAACTCACTTTAGAAAATTATTTTTGAAACAATATCTCAAAACACAAACCAAACAAGGCCTTAGATTTTTTAATTATTTTTCTTCTATTATTTATTACAAAAACTACCAAAATTGCTAATATATAAAAATAAATTCCAGAAAAATGTTTTCAATAAAATATTTCTTATGTTTGGTTCCTTGAAACTAATGTAATAATTTTTATATAAGTGGTGGTAGTGGCAACAACAACAATAGTCATGATGACAATGTTGATATGATAACATTGATAAGAGTTTAGTTTAAAAACGTTTTTTACTTACTTTTTATTATTTATTACAAAAACTACCAAAATTGCTAATATATAAAATAAAGGAAAAATTAGTCTAAGGTCCCTCTCCCACTTTTAATATTGGAAGAGATCCACAATGTTATTTTATGATGTCTAAGGTCCTTCAACACCAAACCCATATATCACAGACAAATTTTAGAAGAAACGAAAGGGCTTCAAAACTATCTTCAAAAACTAAGTTTGGTCTCTCTCTTCTCACTCTCTGCTTCCTCTCTCTCCTACATCAATGGCAGCTGGGTTGGTATCCAATGGCCAGTCAACCGATAGGTCATCTGCTGATCCATCATTGATGAAATTACAACACACTCATTGAATCACTTCATATCAAAAAGAATTTTTGGTCAAACTTCTACTCAAATTTACGATTGAAAATGCCTTGGGCCTCAAAAAACATATAAAGTAATGGGTAGCCTCAAAATAAAGTCACAAAACCCAAACAGACAAGTTGGGAGAATCGATCCCTTCCCTGAAAATCATCCGCCGTAAACTCAGTGTAGTCTTTGGCATGGCTTCTTCGACAGAGCAGCAGCCTCTAAAAAAGCGAAAGCTGTATGAGCCACCGGTATCAGAACCAGCGCAAGAAGAAATCCTCGCCAATCCGGTGGATGTGGATTGAGCGGATTGACGGTTTGGCGGATGGATGCGAATCGGATTGGCGGTTTAAAATTTTATAAATTTTCAACATAATTCAACTTGTGCACTTCCTAAAAAAAAAAGTATTACAGTCAATAACTTAAAAAAGTATTACAATAACTATATACCTCATCCAAAAAAGAAAATTTGAAATTTTAGAGTATCACAATCACTGCATGTCTTATCCACATATTACAATCACAGCATGATTCATCCACAAAAAGTATTACAATATATGATTCTTAAAATAAAAAAACGATTCAAACTACCAAAACCATGAACAGAGTAGTAGTAGAGATTGTTTGTCTCTGTATTATTACATCTATATATGTTTTTGAAAACAAAACCAACCAGCATATATCATATTTTCTATTTATTATTTTTAGAGTTAGATTTAAAAATAAAAAAAATATAGATAAATAATACGTTTGTTTTTTCCAATTCAAAAAATATATTCAAGTTGAAAACTTTTTTTCAACGGAATATTTAAACTCATTTTCAATTGAAAACACAAACAAAATATTTAAACAAATTGAAAACACAAACTCTTATAAATTACTAGGGGTGTTCGCGGTTTGGCGGTTCAGTTGCGGCCAAAAGAATTTCAAATTCGCTATCCGTCTGCCAAATTGGCGGATTGGAGAAAATCAATCCGCAACCGTCCGCTCGTCATCACGGATCCGTCTAAAATGTGGCAGATCGGTTCGGTTCGATCGATTTAGACGGATCGATATATCCGCTGCTCACCTCTAATTAGGGGTGGTACTATGGTTATTACACCAAAATGTTGAGGGTTAATTTGGAAAACAACGAATTAAGGCAATGGGACAATGAAGAAAATGATTAGAAGTCAAAAAGATTAACGGAAGGAGTCCAATGGTGCGTGCTATTGCCTGAAGGTGGGAAATCCGCAATCAAGGACTAATATCTTGACAGGTGTCAGATAACTAAACTGTACACTTGGCTTTGATCTAGAAGATCTATCAATGTCACTGTCTTCATGCACCAAGGATCCTCTAGAGTAATTTTTTCCTAAAGTTTCCTAGAGTACCACATTGTGTGGTTGAGATTTACTGGCAAGTCTTGATGTGACTTGCCAGTAAGACTTGCCAGTAAATCTCAACCACACAATGTGGTACTCTAGGAAACTTTTGCCAGTAAATCTCAACCACACAATGTGGTACTCTAGGAAACTTTAGGAAAAAATTACTCTAGAGGATCTTTGCTCGTCTTCATGGTAGGTGAGAGGTACTATTAGAGAAGTCATTGGGTGTTATGGTAAATTAGAGGTACTATTAGAGAAGTCATTGGGTGTTATGGTAAATTGATACATGTTCTCCAGCCAAAATTAGTTGTTAAAATCCAATTTTATGTTAGTGGATTGGATTATAGGATCGGATTAACATTTTAAAGATTTTATTTTTTAAAATAAAATAAAATAATAATGTATCTTGATAAAAAGAAGGATGTTGCAATTAATTTTACCACCACCATCTATAGCCTTCTTTATCTAGCGGCGTAGCTAGGAATTCAACGAAAAGGGGTACAAATTAATAACGTTATTTTTTTTTCTTCATAATAAGATAAATGTGAATTTTAAATTAAAGGATTTGAGATTAAATTTTATACAAATATTGGGGAGTAACTATTTTATAGGTGGATTGGAAAATTAAAAAAAAAAAGAAGATAAGTTGAGATAGAAATGATATATTTTAGTAGAGAAATTCTATAAAACATACCGTAAAAAAAGTGTCTATCATATGTCACAATTATAATCTTCGTAGTCTTTAATTATAACATATTATAGTGTTAAATATAATTTAATTATAACTTCTTGTGGTTGTTATTTTGGTTATGACTATATATCAAATAATAATTAGTTATGACTCATTCTGATATTAGTTATGACCTATTGTAATTTTTATTTTATTTTTTAATAATTGAAGATGTGTTACTTGATTATAATTTATATAATGATCATTTTAGTTATGAATGGAAAGAAACACATTGAGAATAAACTCCATATGTCAAATATAACTAACAATCCAATAAATTCCATATCTTGATTGAAATTAATTATGTTTACATATCAATAATGATAGACATTACCATTATATTAAAATTTTCATAGAAAATAATATGACTTATCATTATCTTTTTATTTTTAATCAAAATAATTATTATTATTCTCATAATTTTAAAAATGTCCTTGATATTTCACTTTAAATAATATTTTTACAAAATTTTTTATTTAAAATATTTTCTTTATGTTAAAAACAAAAAATCCCAAAACCTATATGAATGGAAAGAAACATATGGAGGATAAACTCCATATGTCAAATGTAACTAACAATCCAATAAATTTCATATCTTGATTGAAATTAATTATGTTTGCATGTCAATAATGATAGACATTACCATTATATTAAAATTTTTATAGATAATAATATGACTTACCATAGTCTTTTTATTTTCAATCAAAATAACCATTATTATTCTCATAATTTAAAAAATGTCATTGATATTTCACTTTAAATAATATTTTTATAAATTTTTTTATTTAAAATATTTTCTTTATATTAAAAAAAAAAAGTTCCCAAAATCCAAGGGGGGCACGTGGCCCCCCCGGGCCTAAGGTGCCTCCGCTATTGACACCAAGGGAACCCATAATTAAGGCAAAAAAAAACATAACCTCAAAAAGTTGCTGAGCAGTGCCGTTGTTTTCCCGTTGCATCTCTAATTGTGCCCACGCCTGTACCAGAAAAAGTAGAGGGATACAAGAAAACAAACTTCAATGAACCCTGCAACATGAAACAGAAAATCATCCTCACAACAACAAAACGTTGCCTTAAGAAGAACACTTACAAGCCAGCTTGCACAGCTTTTGGGATTAGATTTGGTGGCCTGCTTGAATAAATACCTCGCCTGCTCATAACGGGTTGCTTTAACCTCAAGCAATGCAAGTGTCTGGTATATGTACTCGTTTCCACCACAATATTTGAGACCTTTACCAAGGAGATTTCTTGCCTTCTTTATATTTCCTTGTTTTAGCTCCAAAACTGCCCATCCATGCCAGGCTGCAATATGTCTCTTATCAGCAACAGTGGCAGCATCAAATAATTCTCGAGCTCTCCTTACATTTCCGATCTTATTTTCCAGAACAGCCCAACACTGTTTTCAAAAGAATGAGTCCATGTAAACTTCTAATGCAAAATATATGGATAATAATAAATAATAATAATGAAAGGATAAGGAGGCAACAGCCACATTAACTCTACTTACCTAACCAAAAACCAAACATGTGTAATTGACTTAACAGAGTTTGCTTAAATCTAAGTTAAAATGATAAATAAAAATCTAATAATTTCTCCATATCCGGAGGGGTAAATTGTGTAATTTTAAAAATAATGATATTAATAAAGATAAAAAATGATGTTGTCACTACTAGAAAACTGGACTTTTGAGTCGGCAACATGCCGTCGCATTGAGGCTAAATGTTTTAAAAAAATTGCCGACTCAAAAAGTGGTTAAATGTTTTAAAAAAATTTAACCCACAATTTTCTCATTGAGGCTCCCAAGTTTCGGACACACTCCATTTGGACAATTTGACCCGAAGTCACCGCACTAAGCCCATTTGACCACCATACCTCTTTCAGATATTAAATGAGATATATATTATTTATAGTATATACACTCAATATTAATATAAAAGTATATGTATAAATAAATATATTTACTAAATATAATCAAGTAAATATATATATATCTTGGCTATAATTTTTTTTTTTTTGCTACGGCGTCAGTTGCCAACACAAAAAGGTATAATTTTTTGTGTCGACACAAATTTGCCGACGCAAAAGGTCTATGCCGACTCAAAAGGTCTATCTTTTGCGTCGGTAAATTCAACCGACTCAAATAATGCTATCAAATATTAATTTTTTGTGTCGGCCAACGGTGCCGACGCTAAAGGTTTAGTATTTGAGTCGGTAACTCTGTGCCGTCTCAAAAAGGCTACCTTTTGCGACAGTAAAATTTGCCGACTCAAAAAACCGACTCAAAAGGCACTTTCTTTAGTAGTGAGAGTTTGGATTTCAAATGTTGGAAATAAACATAAATTAAGCTTTAAGGTGGGTGTCCAAAAAAATAAATAAATGCAAAATACTTAGAACTGGGTCCAAAGAAAAAAAAATAAAAATTAGGACCACTCCATGGCTTTTATTGCTTTTGAAAAAAACAGGTTCGTTTATAATGGTCCAAACTAGGGATTGTTTGAGAAGCCATTAAATAAGTATATTTGTTAATTTGGCAACCCAATTAAAAGTAAAAAATTAGCTTTTAATTTATTTTGGGTCACATTACTTTTCATATTTTTATGGGATTATTTAGAGTGTTCTAAATAAGTGTACTTTTTGACTTTTTAGGCTAAAAAGTTGAGGAAAAAAAGATGGTTGTTTGAGATAATTTTTTGACTTTTTACGAAAAAAATGTATTAAAAAATTGTATAAATTAGTGTATAGAAGAAGATTGGAATAGACTAGGCTGTACAGTGGGATGAATTAAGGGACATCATGTGGAGAGTATAGGCTATGAGATGGTTTCTTACTTTTTGGGCATTGAATTGGAGGTGCTGTTCGGCCCGTAAGGGCTCACCACGAGTCCCGTTTTGCTAATCAAAGCCTTTCAATGTGTAGAACTCGTCGAGTACTATATACTTGTAAACAATCACGTTGATCGGATATCGATAGCTATCTGATCGGATCAGTTTTTTTTAACCGTTAACTATAACACCATCCATTTTTTATACAAAACTGATTTGATCATGTAGTTAGTGATATCCAATCAACGTGATTTTTTAAAAGGCATATAGTACTCGACGAGTTCTATACATTGAACGGTTCAGATTATTAAAACGGGACCCGTGATAGGCCCTACGGACTAAACAACACCGTGTTATTTGTGCACCCCGCCTGTGCAATTTTTTCAAAAAGTCAGCTCTACTGTGGGGACGTTTTTGAAAATTAGTTTTGTGTAAAATTAATTATTTAATTTTTTTTTGGTGAATAGTGATAACTTTTTAACTTTTTTAGTAATTTTTTAATTTTTTGAATTTTTTTGGATATCTCAAACCAGGCCTACATATTTTTTTTCAAAAAAAATAAAAAAGTTAACTTTTAATTATTTTTTCAAAACACACATTATTTATTTGCTAAAAGCTATCACATTATTTTTATTTTTATTTTTACATATCTTTCTGTTGGTGATACTTACAAATAAAACACTAGATAATACACAAAATAAAAGTTACAACAATTAATATAAAGGTTGAGGCGCGGGAAATTCGCTCTCTTTAAGGAGATTCAAGCCCTCTGCGGTTAGGCAATGCCTCATACTGGTGCAGCAGAAAAACCTTGACTTGTCTCCCCAGGATACAACAGCCCGACTAAGTCGTATGGTTCATCAATACTGCACAATTGGTTGAACCTAAAGCTTTATCACACACACCTTTTTTATTTGCCTGATAATCTCACTCAAGACATAACAACACAACCAAAACTTCTTCTCTCTTATGTGTCTCTAAAGATAGGACCTAAGTTAATATATATATAGAAATCAAAATTAGTTAGACAAGTTCTTGGTGGGAAAGAAACGGATGAAGACAAAGAATGGATAAGTCTTGGTGGACTTGACCAAGACTTGGATAAGATAAGATTGGTGGATACGTTATGGAGACTAAGACCAAGACCTTGGATGACTTGGAAGGCTTAACAAGGAAGAAAAGAAAAGAAAATCAACCTATAATACATTATAATATTAAAATACCTAATAACACCTTCTATAAAAAATTAAAAGACCACGATTACGGTTATAAACAAATCTTAGGAATCATATTGTATGGGAAGTTATTTGGTTTATTTGGTGGTGTTCGGCTACGGTTACGTGATTTTATAGGTAAGACTTATGAATTATAATTTTGTATTAAGTAATTAAAAAAAATAATAAATATAATAATTTATAATTGGTCAGAACATGATGGCGTAATGGCCCGGCGCATGAAATAATTCTCCATATTATACCTTCATGTTTGTTATATATTTTGTGATGACAACCCAACTAAAACAATTTAATAATGTTGTCAACTAGGAACCAACTGCAGTAATAGTGTTTTTTTTTTAAATTTAAAAAAAAAAAAAAACTAATTGGATCCCCCGCGCTATTAGCTTTTTTAAGTTAGGAGTTATTTGAGGTATCTTAAATAAGTACACTTTTTTATTTTTTGGACTAAAAAGTTGAGAAAAAAAATATGATTATTTGGTATAAGTTTTTAATTTTTTATGAAAAAATATGTATTAAAAAATTATATTAATTAATGTATAGGAGAAGATTGTGAGGAAATAGGCAGTACGGTGAGGAAATCGGCAGACAGCGTGCGCAGAGTGTATTTGGGATATGATTCCCTATTTTTCGGGTATTGAATTAGAGGTGTTGTTCGGCTCATGGAGGCCCACTACGGGTCTCGTTTTGCAAATCAAAACCGTTCAATGTGTAGAACTCGTTGAGTATTATATGTTTGTATAAAATCACGTTGATCGGATATCGATAGCTATCTGATCGAATTAGTTTTTTTCAACCGTTAACTATAACACCATCAATTTTACAAATTTTAACTGATATGATCATATATTTACCGATATCCAATCAACGTGATTTTTTGCAAGCATATATTATTCGACGAGTTCTACACATTAACAGTTCAGATTATTAAAACGAGACCCGTGATAGGCCCTTACGGGCCAAACATCACCGTATTATTTGTGCACCTAAAACTGTGCAATTTTACCCAAAAGTCACCTCCTCTGTTGGACCGCAGAGCTGTCTGAAATGTAATTGTGTGTTAACTTAATTTTTTAATATTTTTTTTTGTAAATAATGATAACTTTTTAACTTTTTGAGTAACTTTTTGTCTTTTTCAAGACATGCCAAACTTGGCCTTAGCTTCATATGCAAAAATACACAGTTACATTTCTAATTATACAGTTGCTGATAGTATTTTGCATATCAAGGTAGCGCATGGGGGTCGCATTGCTATTAGCTTTTTTAAGTTAGTTTCATATGTCAAAACATACAATTGCATTTCCAGTTATACAGTTGCTAATATTATTTTGCATATCAAGGTAGCGCGTGAGGGTTGCATTGCTATTAGCTTTTTTAAGTTAGCCTCATATGTAAAAACACACAGTTCCATTTGTAGTTATACAGTTGATATTATTCTGGATATCAAGGTGCTCCAAACATTGAATCTGTCAATTAATCAAGCTTATACATATAGCAACTATTAAAGGTATTTATGCTCTTAAAAAATAATCTAATCTTTTCATATGATACATTGTATAGTTATGGTATTCTTATTTCATCTATTATATAATCTTCTTTTAAAAATTTAGTTTCTAAAAATATAGCTAAACCATGTTGTATGACTAAAAATGTCATATTGGGACAATTTTTTAGAAAATATCATCTAATAATTTAAATTTTCAAAATTAAATTAGAGAATATCCTAATATGTCCAAAAGTAATAATAATAATCATTTGTACTTTAAAAGATCATAGTATATGGACCATTTTTATTTTTTCACCCAATAGAGGTTTAACAAACTTCATAGTATATGGACCATTTTTATTTTTTCACCCAATAGAGGTTTAACAAACTAACACGAGTGACATGTTTTTACGTTTTTATTTTGGAAGACCATTTTTTTGTTGAAAATATACTCTCGGTAAATTAATTAATTTAATTAAATATCAAACACGAAATTCAATATTTAATAAATAAAAAACCAAGTAATAGAAAATACTTACAGTACTGTAACTAAAAACAAAATAAATAATAGTTGTGTGATTGATGCCAGTGTTTGGATACTGTGTCTTTAACACAGAAATTCGCCCTCTCCACTGGTGTTTGTCTCCAGGATACAACAATCACCTTCACACAGAAGTAGCACTACAATCTATGTGTACTGCGAACCAAATATGTATAAGAACTCTCTCAACAAACAAAAAAATAAATAAAGATGAAGATGGTTTTGGCCACTGTCACAAGAAGACAAAAAACGAGGATCTAATCAATGGTTTTTCTACCTATAAAATGAGAGATTGCAATGCCTTTGTATGCTTCACAAACCCGTAGAAAGCAACAGTCACATATGTGACTGTTCGGTCAAGGTAAATGACCGTTGGACCAAGATTTAAAAAACTGAAATTCAATTTTTTCAATCAAGGAGGTGACTGTTGGACCAAGATTTGAAAATTTGAAATTCAGTTATATATATATATAAATATTTTCCAAAACTGGTTTCTCTAAAAATTATAAGTGC